ATTGTTTTTGAGAAGCACATATGTAAGAGGCCGACAATTAGCTGAACATATACATGTTTAATTAGTGACATTTAGCCTGCTTCTTAAAATCTTTATTTGAATGTGGCAATTAACCTTTTTTATTTTTAAACCTTTATTTATTTGTGCTCTACAATATTTCCATGAATAAAGCCCAGTGCCCGTATTCACAAAACATTTTGTCTTACCACTAAGCGTTCTTCTAAATAGCAGTTTTAGTTTTTAGCTAAGAGTCACTCTTAAATCCTATTCACAAAGCTGCTGAGACAAACTTTTACTAAGGAATAAAGAGAAGTCTTAAGCTAAGAGTAAGGGCGGGGTTGACCTCATTGCTATGGATGATGTGAGCGTGCTTACTAACTATGCACACAGTGATTGGCTGATAGTCTCTGTCAGAGATTTATTTCTATGTCTCTGTCTCTGTTAGAGCACGATTTCATGTTGCCATATTCAAATAAAAGTTTAAAAATAAAAATGTTAATTGCCACATTCAAATAAATATTTTAAAATGCAGGCTAAGTGTCACTAATTAAACAAGTATATGTTCCACTAATTGTCAGCCTCTTACATGTATGCTTCTTGTAAACAATTAGTGAATATGCATATAAACAGCATTTTAATTAACAGAGTGGAATAATCATGGCTGATAGTAAGACATGCAAATGTAAACAAAAACCAAACTGGACACAAGAAGAGCTGTTACTTCTTGCCCAACTGATTAATGAAAACAAGAATGTAGGCTAATAAAAGGAAAATTGTATATACCTTTTTATTGATATACCTTTTTAAAATCTCATTATCGTCAAATGTTTCTAAAACGTTTACGTTCCGAGACCGATTGCCGGCAACAGCCATTTTAGGAATAGTTTATGGCTTGGTCTTGGTGACTTAGGAGTCCTCTTCACTACTCCTAACGTTTCACAGATTTAGGAGCTAGTTTTAGTGCTAAAACGCTTTGTGAAATACTCCTGTGAAAGTCCTAAATTTAGGAATGACACGCTCATTATTTTTAAGATTTTCTCCTAAATCAGCGAGTTATGAACTATTTTTAGCCTTAAGATTTTTTGTGAATACGGGCCCTGGTTTTTATGACTCGTAGTATAATATAATAAAATATGGAGCTTTTTCCAAGTAGGAAAAAAAACACGCTTTTTATTCAGAGACCCAAACTGAGCACAAGTATGCAATTCGGTGTAGTTGCTAATATTTATATGGTCATAAGATAAAATTCTGATAACTTGTAATGTAAAACAATAAGATCTTTATAATAGTATTGCAGACAATTTACATACAGTAAAATACATATAAATATAATTTATAATCTATATATAATCTACCAATAATCAAAGTTTTAGTAAGATATTTAATTCTTAGTTTTATCATCAAAGCGTTTTAGTTTTAATTGTGCATATAATGCTATGTAATGCAATACAAGGATGAGTGAGAGATATACAAATAAACATTTCTCAAAAACCCTGATGTCATGTTTGAAACTCACATTTTTACATGATTTTTCTAAAACATTATGTATGGGTAATCAAGAAAAAGTTGCTTCAGTCCAGTATGTGTTTATCTTGAACATTTACATTTAATCATTTAGCAGATGCTTTTATCCAAAGCAACTTACAATGAGGAGAACAATAAAAGCAATCAGACCAAAAAGAGAGCAACACTATACAAGTGCTGTGACAAGTCTCAGTTAGTCTAGCACAGTACACATTTAAATTTTTTATTTTTTTTTTATTATGTAATTATACTACAAGCAGTAATAGTACTATGAAACAGACAACTGAAGTTATGTAGAAGATTGTGTACATCAGGTTTCTCAGGAAAGTTTTGATCAGGTTGATAATTATCAGACTTATATTTTTTTGTAACAAATATGATACAATAGTATTTACAGGGTTAAACTCTTTCTCCGTCTCTGTCTGATCCAGGATCATTTGGTGTGTTTTCTTCCTGGCACACTGGCTCTCGGTGCTCACAACGGTCTGCCCGCTGATCACATGGACCTGGCTCTGCAGTTGATGGAGACGTGTCATCAGATGTATGCACAGATGGAGACGGGCCTGAGCCCAGAGATCGCTCACTTTAACCTGCAGTCCAACAACGGACGGGACATCGATGTGAAGGTACACTAACCTGTACAGTCACCACTCATTTCTGACAATAAACTCCCTGAACAGTTGGAGCCGTGGCCTTAAACTGCTGATGCAGGCTTTGGAATGAAGCCATCATTCATTTTCTTTCCTTCGTCTAGAAATAAAATGGTAATAAGCCCCCCAAATAGTGCAGAAACTGTGTTCAGACTGTCTAATCGAGGCCTTTGTGTTTATCTTTTCTAGTATCTGTTCTGAAGAATATCTGCGCTCAGCACTGATGAGGATGACTTTAAAAAAAAAAGTTGATGCCCTTTTACATGAACAGATATTTTTCTCTCTCAATATGTGTGTGCAGCCTGCAGACAGACACAACTTACTGAGACCGGAGACCATTGAGAGTCTGTTCTACATGTACAGATTCACCAAGGACAGCAAATACAGGGACTGGGGCTGGGACATACTGCAAAGTTTCAACAAGTACACCAGAGTGAGTAAGAACTACAAAATATTTAGGTCTACGTTAGATTTTTTTTTAAATACCACGGGGGTTAAAAAATCTGAGACAAAAATGTATGCTTGGGGAAAAAAAAAAAAACACACACACATATATATATATATATATACACCATTATGATTTTTATTGATATTTTGAGTAGCTTTTATTTTTATACGTTCTGTTTTCATTTTAATTTTTTGTTTTAGTAATTTGATGCGCTTTTGTAATTTGTCTTTCATTTACTATTTCATCTTTAGTTCAACTTATTTTATTCTAGTTTATTTTTCTTTACGTTTGAGTTTTTCACCTAATAGTTATATTTTGTTTTATTTCAGTTTTCATAGTTTTAGATGTTTACTCATTAGATATTTAATAGCTCTGATTGGCCAGCTATCCAGTGCGTTGTGATTGGCCGAATACTTAAAATGTGTGACAGAAATGTTACTCCCCTTACCATGCTGTGATGGCGTGTCCCGGCCGGTGCGATGAGACAAAAACATGAAAACCCATTATAAACAAGGCATTTGTTGTATCCAGTGGGGATATAATTACAGATTATAATGATTTATACTGTCTTTTTTTCGCGTTGCAATGCATCGCGCCGTGTAAACACACAACCATGTCTGCATTTGTGATCGGAGAAATGACAAACAACAAGCGCTACTCTACACAGCTCAAAACTCGCGTTTGAATCATCAGTGGCAAATCCTTAAAATGAAAACGTACTTACAGTCTGTGAGTCAGAACAGCCAGCGTTGTAGTCTGCTCTACCAGGATCAGGAAACAGTCCTCCATAAAATGTGCTGCACACATCTGAATATTTGAGTTGAACTGTTCTGGAACAGTGTTGTAAATACAACTTAACCACTGATTTCTAGTCGTGTCCTCTTTTGGAAGGCCAAACAAAGTAGTTTCGCTTTCACAACGAAACGCACAGCGTCACACACGGAGGGCTTGAGTGAGCGTTGGCTGGCGGGCTTGAGAACGGTGCGGCCGGCGGAATCGACGAAGGAGCGGCCGGTAAACTTGTAGCAACCACATGTGACGACCCCGGGCTGGACTCCGCTTCGTCCACGGTGAAAGCCGATCCGGCGATCCACAGCGGGAAGTTGATGTATTTCCTCAGCGACCAGCTCTGATCAACTCTAGGCATGACGAAGCGGATATTGTCCTCTTTTGGAAGGCCAAACAAAGTAGTTTCGTTGCGAAATTACTTTGTTTGGTCTTCCAAAAGAGGACAATATCCGCTTCGTCATGCCTAGAGCTGATCCGCAAGCCCTCACTCTAGCCCGCCCACCGCCGCTCACTCTAGCTGCTGGCCTCCGCTCACTCAAGGGCTGCATCCGAAAGCCTAGGCAGCTGACTTGCTGCCTCGCTGCCGTATGAGGCAATGACTTTGCAGGCAGCGTTTTTTGCACGAAGGCAACTCATGAAACTGATTTTGGACAGGCTTCTGAGACAGTGTAACGGATTAATGATCTACAACAAAATAGAATGAGTTTTGGTGATAACTAAACAAATATTTAATTACTATAGTACTGATTTCTCGCTAGAAATAACATCAAAAGTGCAAAAAGTTAGTCAGAAATATAAATTTACACACAAACTGACCACCAAATGCAACTTTCAGACGCCATCTTTATTTTTTAGCTCAACCGTCACGGAATGGAACGCACAGGATTGTGGGATATCAAAGGCAGCGAAGGATACATCTATGCTGCCTTCAAAATTAAATCAGAAGAAGGTACCTCCGGAGACAGGAAGTGAAGCAGAATTTGGATTCGGACGTGCCTTGATGCCTTCCTGCCTTGGAATGCTGCCTCCGAAGGCAGAATTTTAGAGCTTTCGGACGCAGCCAGCATAAACACATTTCATTACACCAAATACACAAAATAATGTTCTTTTTAGCAACATTAAATGACCCCTTTAAATATAACCTTGGGCAAACTTCAAAATTGATGCCTCAATTCACTTGTAGCCTTTAAGCATTCTAGTTTTTAGACAAAATAATTTAGAATTTTAATATCATCCACTTATCTGTAATCAACTATAAAATGACAATAATTTACTTGTTGGTCCCATTCATAAACATTTCAGTGCCCAATGAACACAAACTTGACTTCTTTACTCACTTCCTGTCCCAGGTCCCCAGCGGGGGCTACACCTCCATAAGTAACGTCCGTGACCCCGTGTACCCCTCGCCCAGAGATAAGATGGAGAGTTTCTTCCTGGGTGAGACGCTGAAGTATCTGTTCCTCTTGTTCTCTGACGACAATGAGCTGATCAGTCTGGATAAGTACGTGTTCAACACCGAGGCCCATCCGCTGCCCATATGGCCCTCCACCTCATGAGGGTGGAGGCCAGAATTATGCTAATCCTCACTTGATGTTGGCTTCAACAGGAAATGATACTGGCTACCATAGGAAGTGACCCCTCTGAGTTTCTCTGCGGGAATGTTTCTGCTCTGAACTGAGGTGGCGAGTTCCGCACCAATCTTTAACTGTACACATGAGGTTTATTTAAATGCGGTGAGACCCAGAAATATTCGGTGGCAGTTTTACACATTATGGGTGGTGAAATACCACAAATATTGTTTTCACTTTACACTTTACAAGACTTCACTTACTTTTGAGCTCATGGAGCGCCTGCAAAGTGTGACACTCTTGCATGTTGGACAAGCCCATTCAGCTGCCGCAGTACTTAGGTGTTCCATCTGCCATATTTGGGACAGAAACAATAGTGTCAGAGCGCCGTAAATCACACGGCAGACTGCTGAAATCACACACTGTGAAAAACGCCAAGCACTTTGTAGAAATGAAGACTTAACACCGTTCTTTCTATGTGTACAGATGGATGCTCTCGATGTGAGTGGCTCGCCTTTATTTTTGCAGGCTGTTACAAAAGGACTCTACGTGTCAATTTCTAAATGTTTCCCTTTTGTGCGAGTCAGGATGCATTACACTCTTAAAAATAAAGGTGCTTCAAAAGGTTCTTCAAGCGATGCCATAGAAGAACCATTTTTGGTTCCACAAAGAACCATTCAGTCAATGGTTCTTTAAAGAACCATCTCTTTCTTACCTTTTTGTAATCTGAAGAACCTTCTTTCGCCACAAAGAAGCTTTTGTGAAACAGAAAGGTTTTTCAGATGTTGAAGGTTCTTTATGGAACCATTTAGACAAAAAGGTTCTTCTATGGCATCATGAAGCACCTTTATTTTTAAGAGCGTAGGTAGCATATCGAGTACTTTACAGATCATCATCTTGAGATTTATTTGGGAACCCTCTGGGATTGTGTATTTTTCTGTTATTTATGTTGATTTTAGTGTGCATACTTCAGAGAACGCTAATGATTCGATGTAGTGGATGCCACCCGAAACCCTTCTTGAATCACTGCGCTTTAGATTTACTTTATTACTTACAAATTTTAAAAGCTGTTGTGTGGCACTGGATGCTGTGATTCTACATTTAGTTGAACTGAGATCAGATGTGTATACATCTTCATTTATTCATTCAAATTTCACAGCAAACTACACTGAAAATGGATAAACTGTCTGATCGACAGTCAAAATCATGTGGTGATAAAGCTACAGAATATCCTTGTCATATTAGAGCACAGTGGTAATCTATATCCGCATGCTGCCATCTGTTTCAGTATGTTAGATGATTGTAAGCATTAAATGAATCATTCACCCAGCAATGAAATGAAAACATCATTTTACTTAACACAAACCTGTATTACTTTCTTCCTGGTCAATTAATTTCTTCTTTCTATGTTTCGAGAAAGAAAGTCATACAGGTTTGAAATGACATGAGGGTGAATAAATAATCACAGACATTTCATTTTTAGCTGGCCTGTTACTTTAAGATTGATAAATGTTGTCTGATATTTGCACAACTTCATTTCAATTAAAAAAAAAAACAATGCTTGGAAACTCCAAGTGCGTATCAACTGTTGACTTTATCTGTGCCGTCAAGTGTTTGTTTCTCCTATCATCTCATCTGTCTTTTGTCAAACAGCAGTCATCCAATCATAACATTCAGGCTTTCAGAAGCTGTCAGACTAGCGCAAAATAATCCTTCATCTGAAACAATCCATTTTCAGGGTGATTGACATTTGCATTACAATATGTCTGTTCCGTGTCACATTCCTTTTGCTGCTTCTGGTGATACGGCGTCAAAATCTGCATCGGTTGTGCCTTTCGATTTATAGAACACAGAGTGATCGCATGATAATGAGAGATTTCTCCCTGATTGCTTCTCTCGTCTCTTTGCTGCAATCAGCGGTTTGTGATTACCGTTTGTGCTCGCGAGCGTTAAATGAAGGAGCCCGGGGTGGACACAGATCTGATGAGGGTTTGTGAAGGTCAGGTTGTGTTCGATGTATTAATATCCAGCACAGCTGAGCTGTTTTTCATAATGGTAAAGATACAAGCAGGTCTCTGAGGTTGTTGACATTTGTAAAGTATAAAGATAGGTAAAAACTTAACTAAAATAAGTGAATTGTTAAAACGGTAGTTCACCCAAAAATGAAAATGTACTCATCCTCAGGTAATCCAAGTTGTAATTGAGTTTGTTTCTTCATAAGAATAGATTTGGAGAAATTTTGCATTACATCACTTGCTCACCAATGGATCCTCTGCAGTGAATGGGTGCCGTCAGAATGAGAGTACAAACAGCTGATAAATACATCACAATAATCCATAAATTATCCACATAACTCCAGGCCATCATAAAGATATTTTCATTTTAAACCATTGCTTCCAGCTAAAATATGAGTTTTTTTATACATAAGATTGCTTTCTTCTGTGAAAAAGTGTTGTCTGAATCAGAAGAGAAAGATGCACAGATCAAGTACCGTTCACAAAGGTCTCTGAGGTTGTTGACATTTGTAAAGTATAAAGATAGGTAAAAACTTAACTAAAATAAGTGAATTGTTAAAACGGTAGTTCACCCAAAAATGAAAATGTACTCATCCTCAGGTAATCCAAGTTGTAATTGAGTTTGTTTCTTCATAAGAATAGATTTGGAGAAATTTTGCATTACATCACTTGCTCACCAATGGATCCTCTGCAGTGAATGGGTGCCGTCAGAATGAGAGTACAAACAGCTGATAAATACATCACAATAATCCATAAGTTATCCACATAACTCCAGGCCATCATAAAGATATTTTCATTTTAAACCATTGCTTCCAGCTAAAATATGAGTTTTTTTTATACATAAGATTGCGTTCTTCTGTGAAAAAGTGTTGTCTGAATCAGAAGAGAAAGATGCACAGATCAAGTACCGTTCACAAACCCAACACCGTTGTAAACGTATATAGGACAACAGGGGATGTACTTTTTTACTGGGGGAAGCATTATTATGGATTATAGGCTCATATTTTAGCCAGAAGCAATGCTTTAAAGTAAAAATGCATTATTGGTGGATTTTATAGCTGTTTCTTTAACTTTAATTCTGATGGCACCCATTCACTTCAGAGGATCCATTGGTCAGCAAGTGATGTGATGCAAAATTTCTCCAAATCTGTTCTATTGAAGACGCAATCTTTACATCTTGGAGGCCTGAGGGTGAGTAAGTTTTCTGCAAAATTTCATTTTTGGGTGAACTATTCCTTTAATAGCAATTGTCACAAGCTTTTGTTATTGTTGTTGATTAGTTTGGGGCTCTTTTGGGTTTTACTTACCTTAATTATTTGTTTTTGTTTTATTTATTTATTTGTATTTTTTTATTGCATCACATTTTATATACTGAAATGAAAATTCAACTGTTTATCACCCTTTGAGATTTCATATTATACAATGTACATTTCTACAATTTCCTAACAAAAGGGAGCACATTCTAGTCTAGTGTGATTATGCATACTTTTTCATATTTATTAAATTATGCATAATATTACATATTCATAATTTAAAATCCATGACAAAAAATGCTATCTTGCCAAATGACTCCTCTGGAAGTGGATATTGAATATTGTAAGCATTGTCCTTGTAAATACTGTTTGAAAAACCTGCCTTGCTACATTGCAAAAATCATTTTCTTCATCAGCATTTTGTCTTGTGTTCCAGTAACAGTATCCTTAAAACAAGATGCATTTTTATTGATAAGCAATACTGCTTGTATTAAAGTTTCTTGCACTGTTAAATGTGTTAAGTCGATGCTGCAAGAACAAACTATTTATCCAAAAAATAAAAATTAAGTTAATTCTAAATATATTCTTGTAAAACAAGTCAACATATTGTAATATGTTGATGGCATTACACATAGCAATTTAAGTTCTTGTTTTTAAGGATGTTTAGATATTTACTTTATTTTATTACTGGAAAACAAGATTAAAACTTGAAGAAAGTTATCTACAGTTGAAGTACAACTTTTTTGTGTATCGTCTTGTACTTATTCCTACATTAACAGCATATAACAAAAACAAAATAAAACCGACAAGCAGAAGTTGTCTGTGTTCTTTTTAATGAATGCAGAGATTTGTTTCCGCTGACAAACTTCAAATCAGTGCAAGCAATACAGCGCCTGACATCTGCTCAGATCCGTACCTCAGCCATGCACACGTTATCTCTGTTCCCACTCAGATGCCCATGGCAACCAGGGCAGAAACAGCACTGTGAGAATTTCCAATTTCCGCTGTGAACATTTTCTGTTGCCGACTCGTATGAGGGTTTTCAGTCATGCACTTTCTTGGTTGCCGATGTGAGGAAATCGGACTCCTCAGACCTGTCTGCAGAATGTCAATGTCGTGTTCGCTCATGCATTTATGATAGAGAACTGCTGCCCAGAACTACTTTACATCACAACTTCCTATCATCTGAGAGCTTCAGCGCAAAAAAGAACAATATTTAATGTGTTCAGTATTTTTGTCTTGTAAAAGTGTCTAAACATCCTTTAAAAGACAAATTTGTATCTGAGCAAAATTATATTACATAGATATTTTTATTTATTTCTTCTGTTTAATTATGTGTAATATCATTTTAACATTAAATTCATTATTGATGGTTAAAGTTCAAAGTACACAAACATTTGGTTTTGAGAGCCAATGTCCTATATCCCAAAGCAGAGTTGGGAATTAGACAAATTAAATGTATCCACTTGCTTGGCCATAAAGTAGTTGGTCCAGCTGAGGAATACTGGCCTGATATGGTTAAATTTGTTCCTAGAGTTCACAGCTTGAGCATGGCCAATTTTCTGCATGACGGTGGAGTGTGACAGGCCCGTAGCCGCTACCTCTAGTGTTGAGAAACTGCTGTATAATTGCTTCCCTGCTCATCAGGAATGTTCCTGCCTCTTCAAACATCATGGCCTCTGTTGGTTGATTCCACTGAGAAAAGGGCACCAAATTAAAGGAAGATGACATTTGTCTTGTAAGTTCAGCCATATGAATTAAGTGAATGCTTGAGCTTTAATTGGATGTAGTTGATTAGTTTTTTTTTTATTTTGTTTTTTTCCTAATTGAAAGAGAGCAACTGCACACTCACTTTATAGGCTATTTTTTTTCCTAACATGGTTGACATCTCTTATGTGTGTTTGTTTTGTGTCAAATTCATAACATTTTATAGCATATTTTTGTGTTTGGACTGTTTTTGCTTGTAAACTGTGCTTGATCTGTGTATATTTCTCTCCTGATTCAGACAACTTTACTTTTTACTGGAGAAAACAATGTTATGGATAAAAGGTGGAAGGATGTGAAGTTAAAAAAAATCTCTTAATAATGGATTTGTTTCTTACAAGTATGCTGTTTTTCACTTTACAGGTGGTTAATGAATGGACTGTGGATTACTTGATGTTTTAATCAGCTTTTTGCACTCTCATTCTGACGGCACCCATTCACTGCAGAGGATCCATTCATGAGCAAGAGATTTAATGCTACATTTCTGCAAATGTGTTCAGATGAAGAAACAAACTCATCTACATCTTAGATGGCCTGAGGGTGAGTCAATTTTTGGGTGAACCATTCCTTTAAAA